CTACCTTTTTGCAATAAAATGAAGATGTTTTATTATTATAATTACTTTCTCTACATTTTAATTGCTACCCAAGTATCTTGAAGTTACCTCACTAGATTGAAATGAAAAGTCCATGAATTTCTATCAAAGAATCTTGATCATATTCTGATATTTAAAAAAATCTTGCATCGAAATAAAAAAAAAATGTTTCTTTATTAATAATTCATTTTAAAGCAGAAAGATCATTTTGTCTATTTGACTTGAAAGTTTCACAAATGTATGACATTAGTTTTGCTCTTTCAATTAAAATATGCCTATACCATATCTATTTTCTTGTTAAATTATATACTTTTCTGATGCACAAATCATTCTTAATTTATGTATAATTGCACTTCAAGTAATCCATTATTCCTATGCAAATTTATTATAATGAGTTGGCCTTGTATTTATGGTTCTTTTCCTATCTACTAGTAAATCACAACCGAAATTAATGACAGACAGACATATATACAAAACTTAATGAATAATTGAAATCAAGATGTTTGCATTATATCGCAAAGGTTTGCGTTATTTCGCAAAGGTTTGCGTTATAACGCAAAGGTTTGCGTTATTTCGCAAAGGTTTGAGTTATAACGCAAATATTTGCGTTATAACGCAAACATAGGAAGAAATATTAAAAAAAAAGTTGTGTGGCGCTAATAAGCTTCCGTATAATAATGCATGATAAATGTTTTCTTTTACTTTTATAGCAAAAAGACTTCTTCTGGGAACGGCGGCACCGACGACAGAATCAACGGTGGCCTTTTATGTCTACCTGAGCCACAGCGAGACGAAAATTGCACCACACCATACGTTACTATTTGACCATATTGAAACTAATGTCGGTAATAGTTACAACAAGCATACTGGAGCATTTATTGCACCAATGGGGGCTGTTTATCTATTTTCTTACACAGTGTTTTGTGAACGACATGGCTACGGTTCATTTGAGATCGTTGTCAATAGCGCAAGTCGCGGATCAATATTTGTTGAAAATGGCGGATCACAATCAGTCTACACAGGTACAACTGGATTTGCTGTCTTACTTTTAAACAAGGGAGATGCGTGCACTATACGCACTCATTCTACGTACGGATCTACAGGAACAATCCGTAGTGATGAGCTCATGCGTACAACATTTAGCGGCGTGATAATTGGACACATGATGTAAAAAACATTAGAACTTCTCACACGATGTTTGAATAATATGTTTTCTTATGATAGATAATTAAAAAATAAATACAGTAAGTTATTGTATAGAATAGTATAATGTTTACTTCTTTTATCTAAACCTTAAGCTTGATCTGCTTTCAAATGGGGATGTGTTCTAATTATTGTAATCTAAAACACATATATAAATTAAAGTTAAATTCCTTTTAAAGGGGCATTATCTGTCAAATTCATGTTCACCGATTTGACTCAAATTCTCATATTTGATTTAATTCATGCTCACCGATTTGACTCAAATTCTCATATTTGATTTAATTCATGTTCACCGATTTGACTCAAATTTTCATATTTGATTTATAACATACTAAAACGTATATCCAAATTTTAAAAAGTATAAAATGAACAATTTACAACGCACAATAATATATATCTGCATTTCGTCTGTAATTTAGCCTAGACACCATCTAATTAACCATTGAGGTTACCTCCGAAGACTGCCGACGGTCATATAACCCGTTATAAATATAAATATAGATATAAATAGATAGCAAACTCATGCAATTGGATTTTTTTTAGGTCTGTTTGATTTCATATTATAGGTTAAAAATATATGTTAATCATCGTTTTTACCTGTATAAGAATGAGTTTTTGTGGATCGAATCAGTCAATAAAACGGTTCACCCTAGTTTCACTTTCAATGTTGACATTATTTTCCCTTTAGTAACTGAACACGCCTAATTCATGCGTAACCCATCTCTAGCTAAGGGGTTAAATTGAAGGTCACATGAATATGGATTCAATGAGGTCGAATTATTCACTTGCAAGTGAATAATTCATCTGTGATGTTTCTTAGCTTATTTTGACAAAATTGAACCAAACAAGCTGCTAAAAGCGAATTGTTATTTCACTATTTCACTTTGATAAATGATCGAACAAAAAAAATCATATTTTGATTTTTTTTTATATCTCGAAGCTAATGCCCCTTTAACTTGTCCATGTATGTAATGTATTTAAGGGTGTCTTTTTTATTCAACACACTAAATAAAAAAAAATCATTTATTTAAAATAGTCTGTTCTTTGTGTTCTTTGTTAAGAAGTATATGACCATTAATATATATTCCAAAAACTACTAACAAATAAAACAATTACCATCCACACTGATCTGTGTCCACACTTGTATATATTCAAAATAAAAATCATTCTTTTAAATAAGAGATAAAACTTGATATCAAAATACTGCCATTTTGGGATAAGCATCATAACTTTTTTCTGCACTAGACTCAGTATCCATGAAATATTGAATTATAAATATCTCATGGTAATGAGTAATTCATTTTCGGCACTTTATAATTCTGATTGACGATAGCACTTCTTAGTTTTTGTAAAAGATAAGACACCGGCTAGGACTACGGCTTTATCTTCCGCTAAGATGTGACGGCGGACCGCCAATAACTTGACATAAAAAATCAAAATAACACGTTATAAATTTCATGCGTCCGAATCGCTTTTCTGGATTTTCCTTCATCAGGAACATTCAAAGCCAAATATTTGAAAGCCAAGGATGTACAAGAACCGAAACAGCTGAAGAGCTATATGACCAAAATAGGACCTACAAAAATAGCCAAATCCATCTAAGGTCAACTTAGTTCGCGGGCGTTAAAACAGTTACGTCCGTCCGTAAAACACTACTCCTGTGAGCGATAAGCCTGTTAATGCTTTCTATGTAGCTACTTTATTGAAAATTCTTGATATCTCACGTTAATGGGTAATCTATTATCGACCCCTTCGCTCAATTTTACTTATCTTTTGTAAGAAAATAGACAAACTTCCATGTAAAACAGTAATTATAAGGTCAAAAGATAAACCGTGGTTTAATTCAGATATAATAGGGACGGATGCAGGATTTTTGACAAGGGGGTGTAATTCCATAAAACAGATTATATACCGCTGAGCGAAACGATTGGGACTGGTAAAAATATAAAAGCATACGGATTATCTGGACATTTGTTCAAATAACTTGAGGTTTACATTGATAATAGAACCTAAAAGGCATATTGAAACTTCGAAACCTGGTGATATTTAAAGTGTCTCTAGGGTTTTGGGTTCTCTTCTTTTCTTACTATATATAAATGATATTGCAGATCACTGCCTTAGTTTATCGCGATTATTTTGCGAAGAAATACACGATGATAAACATTTGGGTATAACATTTAATTTAGATTGTAAATGGAGTTGTCACATTTATAATATAATTAAAAACACGTCGAAACAAATCTCCTTCTGGGGAAATTCAAATTTGCTCCCAGCAGGCAGAACCCGGAAAAAAAAATTTTTATACTACCACTTCTAGAATATACTTGTGAATTATGGGATGGTTGTACCAAGCAAGACATCATATAACTGGAACAAGTTCAAACGAAGCAGTTAGAATTGTTACTGGGTTTCCGAAATTTTTCAAGTAATGAATCGTTATATTTTGAAACAGAGTGTGCATCTTTACAATCAAGAAGACGCAGGAGAAAATTGGGTTTGTTCTGTAAAATGATATAAAAAAAACAACAACAAACTATTATGGTACCTTTTATTTACTATAAAATATGATTGCCAATGAGACAACTATCAACCAGTGACCAAATGACTTAGATGTTAGCTACTAGATTTGGAGACTAAATCAACGCATTTTAACGTATACAAGTGATTATAGAATACATTTGTACCACTTGCCAGATTACAATTATACTCTAATTGATTTCCCCCTCTACTTTAGATAAATGGAATAATTGAGAGTCAGAATTACGAAATTTATCAATAGTGTATTGGAATACATGTATTTAACAAAGCTCTGATGTCTAATAATTATGAAAACCCTCCTTTCTATTATTCAATAGGTACAGTAATCGACATCTTAATATTTTACATACAATAATTTATACGCCATATAACTTGTTTTCTTATAGTCGGTAAACTATGCCAACTTTGATGTCTTTTCATTTTAAGAGTCTCACTGGTAAATGTTGTTGATATTTGAGCTTCGTCAGCTGCTTTTATTTTTTTTAATGGGAGTTCAGCTGGAAATCGTGAATAGCTGATCATGTTAGTGTAGCTTGGTATAAACATGCATGGACTGATTCTTATTCTCTTATTTATTTGTATGTTTTTAATACGTTGTTTAAGTGCTGGTATAGGCATTTTGATAGTTCTAATGATGCAAGGTCTAAAGAGGGTGATAGTGAATATTGAAATTTTAATGTTGATCAGGTCAGAAAAAAAATTGTATTTAGGAGTCATATTTTATTTAACTGGATAAGGAAATAATTTTCTCCAGATACGCTATATTTTGTAGAAAATTGCATTGATGTTTACAGTAACCATCGTATAAAGTGGGAATGAATCCAAACACTTATCTTGAATAAAAAATAAGTTACCTTTGACAATACAAAATAATCAACCATATTTACACTTACATGCGGGCATCATGTCTGGAGCGCTAGAGTTGGACTTTAAATGTTAAATTTATCATTGATTAATGTATATATGCTAAATGGAGGTGGGAACTGCCTCTTTTATATGAAAATTTGATAACTTAACATAGAGACGTCCTAATCCGTTAACGATAAAATCTTGCTTATCTAATCCTATTAAAGAATCAAACAAACCAATTTAACTTAACTCTGAACAACAATACTTTCATTTAAATGTTATTGTTTATGGTTGGTTGCAAGTAAAGAATGAAATAAAAAAAGACATAAATATACTTAAATGTTATGATCCGTTTTAAATATTAAATTTCATTTGAAGGAATCTAAGTGCGATTCAGGTAGAAAAATTGTTAACCTGCATGTGTGTTCGTAAAAATCAAAGTGCAGCGATAATGGTATAATAAATTGTGATTTTAGTTTCACACGGTTTTCTTATGCATACCAAAGTATACTTCATTTAAATTGAATCTATTTAATTCATTTCAAATTTAGCCAGTTCAAATATACATATGAACGAACAATGGGCGGACATACACCTATTTTCAGTGACTTTAAAATATAATGAGTCTTAGTTTATTTATAAAAAAATGGCACTCGAAAAAAGCAAATATTATTTTTCTGATGAACCGAAATCAGAATTTGTTTGCATAACGTTATTGTTAGATTTGCTTTCAATAAATTTAAACACTCAAATTGACAGAAAGATTATTAATTAAAAGGGTTTGAAGTTTAAGCGATAAAGAATAAAAGAAATAATCCGAAAAATGAAAGATTAACTTATGGATTATATCAACCGAGCAGTGACACTACGCCATAACAGTGAATTGGTGCTATTGTCGTCGGGCAATGAGACACCTAACAACAACCGTTAATGTGAAAGTGAGAACTACACAAATAACATAATAATTCAACCATTTTAAAATCTCGAGTGTAAACTAGGATTCCGTACAAGATCCGATATTGATAAATAAACAAACATATTACTTGACTTCAAATAGAACGAAGACATGAGTATATGATAAGATTTATTAGTGCTTTCCTCAAATAATTTACAAATATACCTCTTGGATAAATTTTGATTATTTTATCAAATACACAATGGAGAAATGGACTTGGAATTTCAGAAATATGGATCATCTTCATATAGCAGTCAACTCTACTATTAGACATATTATGCAAAATGAAAGGAGTAAAAAATGGAACAAGGTAAGTTGTATTAGTTATGTTCAAATCAACAAAAATAAGTTTAACATATAAAACTAGTTATTTGATTGCAACTCTACTTCTCTCATGTCCATGTGCTAAACCAAAAACGTTCCTATCAATACATTTCATTTATTTTTCTTTTGGGTTAGTAATTTGATTAAAAACTTGATTTATGTCAATATCGTGTTTTGTTAATTCTTGTATTCTCGTAATAATCTAAGTATATTGGAATATATTGTAGCCTAATGCCCTCAGATTGCAAAGATGCAATCCTGGTCACCATATTTTGCAAACCTATTGACAGAATAGTGTATACTAATCATAGTATTTTTACAAAAGCTCTGATGGTAGAAGGTTTGTTTCCACGCATACTATTTTATTGACCAAAAAGGTTGACCGACCGTTATGTCATAGTAATAAAAGGTCTGATGGTTTCATTTAATGAATATATTCAAGGGATATATTGTGACCATGTGAAACTAGTTTCAAAGAATGTTTTAAGACTACAATATGTTTGTATTCAATATTTTTAAAAGAGATTTAAAAACAACTGCTCGAATATGTATTATTCTGTCGATTGGTTGACTGTTGGTGTTTAACACCACTTTTAGCACTCTTTGCTATATCATGGCGGTCATTTTTATTAATGGATGAAGCCAGAGAGAACCACCGACATTCGGCTGGAAAACTGGCAATGTAAGGCAGTTGAACACACCTTGCCAATAGCGTAGTTCGAACTCACAACTTCAGTTTTGATTGGTATTGACAGAATAGTATTAGTAGACTTCAGTATTGATTGGTATTGACAGAATAGTATTAGTAGACTTCAGTATTGATTGGTATTGACAGAATAGTATTAGTAGACTTCAGTGTTGATTGGTATTGACAGAATAGTATTAGTAGACTTCAGTATTGATTGGTATAGACAGAATAGTATTAGTAGACTTCAGTGTTGATTGGTATTGACAGGATAGTATTAGTAGACTTCAGTGTTGATTGGTATTGACAGAATAGTATTAGTAGACTTCAGTTTTGATTGGTATTGACAGGATAGTATTAGTAGACTTCAGTGTTGATTGGTATTGACAGGATAGTATTAGTAGATAGTGATCACTGTAGATGAAGTTTTTATACCACTAGGTCACCGACTCCCCCGTATTCTGTTGAATATACATGTCAATTAACACTATGGTACTCTGTCAATAATACCTTGAACAGTGTAATGAGAAACTATTTCATAATGCATACCTAAAATTCTGAAAAATTATAAATGGGGGTACTTCAGCGTGGTAAGTTAAATTCTATATGGAAAATTAAAGAATTAAAATCATATTTCGTATAATTAAGACCTGCAATGTAGAAAACAAACAGATTATAAAGGCAAGGGATTGGTTCGGATTTATTTAGTATAAAAAGTTGAAAGTAAATAAAGAATTACATTCATAAGCTTACTGTGGCTGTAACTACAGTAGTGTTTATGAACGCTGTTAACTTTAGAATCATAAAATCTGCTAATAGAAGCTAGGAGGCAATAAACTTGACACTTGAAATAAATTAAATAAAATGACAAAGTAAACTTGTTAGAAAATGTAAAGCCGAATAAATACACAGTTGATAACGGATTAAATAAAATCAAAATTTCACTTTTATCGTTAAACTTTTATTACATTGGCGTGTTTACATATAATAATACATGGACACTTTTTATTCATTCAAACAGAGTAGTATTAACATATGAAATATACAAATTAAATTCTCCATGTCAGTGTTTGATTAAAGATTTTATATTTCTATACATGTTTCGTTATGGTATTTGAAAATATGCTTTCTCCTATTAAATTTATACACATTTATGAATTCTTTATTAAAATCGATGATATCTCTATTCAAAATAAATGATACTTGACATAAATCTCAATAATAATAATGATAACGATATAAAGTTTGATTGGGTTAGCTGAATAGGTGTTTAATGTCCATCGGCAAATATTACATGCATATTCAGGACAAGAACATTAATGCGCTTTGTACTAGAGCAACACACTAACCAGAGTTTTACGTGCTATTTTACTGACAATATAACATCCAAGGAAGGCAAGTCGCCCCACCCGGATACATTTCTCTTTGCTTTCAAATGTTGAGTGCTTAAATTTGTTATCAATTCCGATTTTATAGTCAATACGGCAAACATAAACAACTATCCGCTCTTTTGCAGGGTTATTGAGAATGCGTTCGTTTATCAGTAAAAGGATAGAAACATTATTTATTCAAAGTAAAATACGTATATTACATCGTTTTCGCTGGGTTTTTCATAGTCAACGTCAAAGTCAAACGACTTCAGAAACCTTACTTTTCATTGTTGATCTTGTAGGCATTGTGTTTTTTTTTAGAATTGTTTATTTTCCTCGCTGAAAATGTAGAAACAAGGATAGTTTCTCAATCAAATATACTACTATAAATGTCAATTTCATTTGATCTAGGTTATAGAAAATTATAAGATACTACTCTTTATGGTCAGCAAAAAGAACCTTCCTGAGGATTACGAACCTCCGCCATCATACAATATGCTGGTATGTATACGTTTCATTGATTTGCGAATTTATCGTAGGACTCTGTGCGCACGGGTTCTGGCTATGTGTGTCACTTAACCTATCGATTCAAAAGATCCGATATACGATTTTTATAGTGTGAGACTATTTAGCGTGCAATGAGCAACACGACTGTTTAGATTTTCCTTCGATCACTAGTAAACGAAATTTAGTGTGAAACGGTCATTTTGATCTAAACAGCTCTTAAAAGACTGAACAATCAATTAGTATGTCATTTTTAGCTCACCTGGCAGGTGAGATTTTCTCATCACTTGGCGTCCGTCGTCCGTCGTCGTCGTTGTCCGTTAACTTTTACAAAAATCTTCTCTTCTAATTCTGCTTGACCAAATTTAACCAAACTTGGACACAATCATCATTGGGGTATCTTGTTTAAAGAATGTGTCCGATGACCCCGCCGGCCAACCAAGATGGCCGACATGGCTAAAAATAGAACATAGGGGTAAAATGTAAGTTTTGTCTATTATTTTGAAAATCGTTATTTATAGAGAAAATCTGACAATGTCAAAACTGTCAGGGAAATTCTTATAGGAGTTATTGCCCTTACATGGCAAATTTTACTTTTTTTTTCTTTCATTTTTGCTAATTATCTTGAAAACTATAATAGATGCATAGAAACTTTAAATTGCAAATGATCAGCAAGACAAGATCTACAAATAAGTCAACATGATCGAAATCGTCAGTCGACCACTTATTAGAGTTATTGACCTTTGATGAGGATTTTTACCTATTTTTGCGTTTTTGCCTTAGATCTTAAAAATTATAATAGATAGATGGAAACTTAAATAAGCGAAAACGATCAGCAAGACAAGATCTACAATTAAGACAATTATGGAGGAAATCGTCCGACGACTCCTAATTGGAGTTATTGCCCTTTAATGACGATTTTTACCAATTATTTTGCATTTTGCCTTTTATGATAAAAATAATTGAAGTTACCTATTCAACACTGTAATTAAATCTTTGAATTTTGTTTTTATTGGTGTAAATATTGATTTTGTTATCAGTAAATTAAAACCATACTAAATATTACACATATGTACTTTCACGGTACTACAATCTGTCGATACCTATACCGGTATTTTGGCATTGCACAAGGTCATGTTTTTCTCTGACTGTTAATGACGTCTAAATCCATTGGATGTTGGATGTGTACTGATTGATATTTTAGTCTTAGATACATGATTTTTTTATTAGTTTTTATTGGCCTTGAATTAGCTGTCAGTAACTGCGAGTACTCTCAGATCTGTACTTAGTGTTTTTTGTTGTTGTTAGGGATGAAGGATAGATATATACCCTACCACGTCCTGTTTGTGTTTTTGTTTGATGTTTTTCTTTGTATCGATCTTATGAGTTTAACCTTTTTCAACTGATTTTTATAGTTTGTTCTTATGTTGTGCTGTTACACCACTGTCCCAGGTTAGGGGAGGGTTGAGCGCTCACACACATGTTTAACCCCGCCACATTCTTTATGTGCCTGTCCCAAGTCAAGAGCCCGTAGTTCAGTGGTTGTCGATCCGATGTTTCATGTCTGTCATATTTTTTTTTCGTAAATTGTTTTGTTATAAATTAGGCCGTTAGTTTTCTCAATTGAATTGTTTCATATTTTTCATGTCGGGGGCCTTTTATAGCCGACTATACGGTATGGGTTTTTCTCATTTTTGAAGGCCGTATGGTTGCCTATAATTGCTTACATCCACTTCATTTTAACTTTGGTGGATAGTTGTCTCATTGGCAATCATATCACATCTCCTTATTTTTATATTATCCTGCTCGAAAATAATAATTGAAAAATTGAATAAGTATAATCTACCTGTATTTACCTGAGTATACCTGTAAAAATATGCGCGCAAATGTAATCAAAAGCTGCGCGCAAACGTAATGACTTTTGCAAATGCAATAGTAATGCGCGCAAATGTAATGCACCGAAAGATAAGTAGAAACTTTAAATTACAAAAATGATTAGCAAGGCAAGATCTTCAAACAAGTCAAATTCTGTCGATATATTTAGTAGACTGTCACTCTTTATAGGAGTGATTGATCTCAAATGAGTATTGTTTTACCCTCTTTTGTGCTTTGAGCAAAAAACTAAAGAAGATAGAGAGAAACTAAACAGACAAAATGATCAGAAATACAAGATCAACAAAAAAGAGATTTTGTCTGACATGAATTCTATTCTGGTCTACAGTATTGGAGAATGTCCTTTGTTGAATATGCACAATTTTCACATAGACCTAGGTGAGCGACACAGGTTCTTTAGAGCCTCTAGTTAGTTTTTCAGTCAATTTTCAGATTTATCTACTGCAGTAAATTCAGAACTGTTCAGACCATTCGCTTGCAGTCGAGTAAGATCTGGTCGGTCTATGTTTACACTGTTCAGTAGTTGTTATTTATCTGTGCAGATCAAAAACACTTGATTGTCTGAACAGCTACTGAACACTACTGAATTGACTGCAAGCGAATAGTCTGAACAGAACTGAATTTAAAGATATTTCAGATGATGTGAAGATCAATATGACCGTTTCAGACTAAAATTTGGTTACTAGTAATTCTACACCAAAATGTTTTAATGCCATATTGTTCATGCAATGGAAGATGACAATAAGAACCCCGGAAAGTTTTATTTTGCAGATAAATGAATATTTTAAGGAACAAATTGAAGGTTAATGGAAAAAATGTATTTTTCAAAAACAAAGAAAAAATCCAAAACAAACATCTCCAAGATACAACCCCTCCCTTTTTCCCCCCAGAAAAAGAAAACAAACGTGTGGTATTGCCGTATGGATGATTTACATAAGTACATGTATTAAACTTGTTCTTTTTCTTTGGGGATTAATGGATTCATTGGCAATCTTCCCCAGATCTCTTCATTTTAATATATTGGATGGTACTTCTTTCTTTTTTCAGTTGTATGAAATTTACTATCATTTAGGAGTAGCTTATCAACATTTGAAAAATCCGAAAAAGTCCGCTGAAAGTTTTACTAGTGCAATTTCAGCTGTTTCAGCTCCAAAGGTGAGTTTGGGATTTTACATGAAAAGAAATACATATGGTTAGAGACAGCCCAGTTTGACAACATTACACTAAGATGAGTTAATTTCAAATTCTATAATATCTTGTATACACAATTCTTTAGTCTATAAATATAGTTTAAAAAAATGTGAAGTAAATGTCAATAAAAAAGCAAGCCATCAACGTACAAATCTCAAACAAATAGTTTCAAAGTTCATCGTATAGCTGTTGACTGCCAAAATCATATCCATATATAAACAAATATTCTATGAATCTCTCCGATTCTTTGACTAATTGACACGTTTTGTAAATATTCAGGACGCACATTAAACAGACAGAGACAAGTTAAAACGATATTTTTCCCCCACCAAAACACAATATATAATACTATCCGTAAACTTTTCACAAAATCCACTTGAAGGAAATTTATTTGAGTAAAAGACAATTGTTTAAATTGATTGCTATCACTATCACTAAGTTCGAAATACAATCGTGTCTGAAATCTATCGGTTTCCCTTTATACTACACTATAGTCATAACTTACCATTAATTGTTGTTAGATTGGAATCATACACGTTGTTCGATATGAATTAAGTGATGGTATTGATTTTTTTAAGAACTGCTTTTGTTGATATGGTTGAAGTTTTTTTAAATTTTTATTTCAGAACGGATGTTTGGCCGGATGTGTAACAAACTCTTGTTTGATGACACCATTGCATGCCAGGCGAGCGTTTTCTTACTCCCAAATGGGTAAATGAATACAAGTAACCAAAAGAGAAATTTTGAAACAAGCTTTCTTAACTATTGATCAATAATTAATTAAGTAGGAAGAGGTCTTTTCATTTTCAAAAATAGTTGTACATTGCGAGTATTCTTAGATCAATAATTTGTGTCTTTGTGTTTATGTTAGTTGTTTTATACTTCGGGCAAATCTGACGAGTCGACCATTTCCAACTGATTTTTACAATTTGTTTAAAATTGTTAATGTAATTTGCTGTTTCACCACTGTCCCAGGAAAGATGGAGGTTTTAAGATTAACAAACATATTCACAATCTTTATGTGCCTGTCTCAAGTCAGGGGCCTGTAATTCAGTGGTTGTCTTCAGATGTCGTCAATAGCTCAATGTTAAAACCGTACGGTTACCTATGGTTGCTTACATCCACTACATTTGAACGCTGGTGAATACTGCCCAATTGTCAATACTTTAACATCTCCTTATTTTTATAAAAATTACAAAGAAATATTCATGTATTTTGCCTTTATAAATAGGCGGACGTGTCATATATTTGTTGATCTTTATTGAATTTTACCGAATTTTTCAGGACTACGGAGTTTTTAAGCGCTTACTGTGTGGGCATTTTTCCTAATTCAAGGCCGTATACAGACAATTAAGACGTCTACTTTCGTTTATTTGTGTAAAAAACACTCGGCTTTCTTAATCTTAAATTTTTGAAATAATAAAAGTTCAAAGAGAAATTAAGTATAATTTCAACGCATTATTTATACATCTACATATAGTTTATATAGTTCATGTAGGCAAGTCTTGAATTTTATTGATTTCATTTCATTGTAGGTGAACATGAGAAAGCGTTAAAAGATGCAGAAAGATGTGTTGTACTTGACAGCAGAAACCCCGTATGTAGAAAATCACCTTAAAACTACGTGAATCAAGTTACGATATGAAAATAACACTTTATAAAATTTGATGCATACTTTCATGAGAAACACGAAAAAACGAAAGCCAGGGAGGTATACTATATAACCAAATGTATCTAAAACAGAATGGTCAAAACCATCCATGGTCAACTTTGTCTAACGGAGTTGGAACCTTATGTTTCTTAATAACTTCTTAATTTATCAATTTACAATAATCGAATTAGTTTATAACAGCAATGATGTTTGACATCAAATTGTACACAGAAGGCAGTGTAAAACAGTTCTACTGGTTTTCTAGTATATATTAAACTTGCTAATTTTTTAAAATCATTGCTTTATTTTCGGATAACCTCTCTTTTTAAATAGACGCTATTTGAAAGCGTCTATTGTCAAGGAAAAAAATGCTTCTTTTCATGCTTAAGAATTTTTTCTATGTAAAACCTGATCTTTCAATTTATGGATATAATTTTTATATTTTTATTCATGCTTTTGTACGTAAAATTATCAACAGTAACGGTAATGATTTACACAAATGAAGAGGAATTTAGGGTACACGTCAATGAGACGGTAACCAAACGGAACCAAATAACAAATAGACACATACAGGACAGTATATAGTCTTAAACAGTAGACCAGTGTCTATACCATATGTCATGCTCTAAGTCGTCCCGAGTTTTTATTTAAAAAAAAACAACTGTAAAGAATTAAATAGACACTATCAACGCGATCTTCTATCAACATACCAAATTAAAAAAAAACACAAAATTGAAAATATGACCTAAGACAACCCATGACGATGTTCTTGACCTGGAACATAGAGACAATCACATGAGTATGCGAAAATGTGTTTTATTAGCCACGTTTTGATTTCCAATTCTTCCACAGTTATATTATTTTCTTATAGGACTTGTATTGTATCAGAGCTTTAGTCAAGAGTACAATGGACAAGGACAGTTGGGTAAGTTATAAGACACCAGGTTAAAAGAAACAATTATATCTCTTTTATAAAATTTCGAATTTTGTAGATATTATTCTGTACTGTTAAAACCCGATTTATGTCAATTTTCTTACTATTTAAAGCTCAAGTGTATCTTATTCTTATCAATTTACGAATAAAATGAGAAACAATTAATGAATTTACCAATATATTGAGAAATGACACTTTTCATTGTAATGACACGACAAAGGACAATTAGACATGAATGAAAGTTTTAAAAACACTATTCTTCAAAGATCGTTTTACTTAAACCTGATCTTTGATGTACACCATTTATAAGACAAATAGAGAAAGTAAATTCCTTTGATCCCCAGTTTTACATTTCTTATGCATAGGCCACCTTAAACAGGTATCATCAGTGTGAATAAAACGAGAACAAAAAGAAAAAACACAACATCATACACACAAAATATAGGAAAAAAATCCATAGGGCTATATATAAGGGTATTCGGTACCTAGCTAGTGTCTTTACCATATGTCAAATTCTTGAATTAATTTATGATCCCCATTTTCATTGTATGACTACTTTTTAATATAGTGTATGTGATATGACGATTATATTTTCACATAATGTAAATATGTACTTTGAAGCTAATATTTTCACATGGTATTCGTGTTCTGCCGGTTATATTTTCTCATAGTAAATGCTCTGACGGTTATTTTTCACCATAGTGTAATGGCTATTATATGTCGGCCACATAGTGTATGTACCGTGGCGACTGTAATTAACACATTACATGTACTATGGGCGGCATTCATTCCATATTTGTATTTTTTGTGGTTGCAGTAATTTCACATTATGTATGAGCTAGGACTATTCTCATTTCCCAATATGTATGTGCCATGTCGGCTTTAATTCATTGCAGACATATAAAGGAAATGGTAGAAGAACAGATCTTAATTTCATGGCAGATCTTGATATTGCATTGAAACTCAATTCAAAACATACCTGTGCTTTGGTTCTACGATCTGCTATGGTAAGCATTGTTGAAGATTCTAATCACGTATATTAATTGTAAATTAAACGTAATTAATGATTTAACGATTTTTGGTATGAATGACATTTTTAATATACTTTTGTATTTAAAAGTTTCGATCAACATAAGCAGTTTCTGTTTTCTTTGAAAACAATACATTATTTTGAGGATACATATACAGTGCGGTTTCACTTGAGTGGTTAGTATATTGATGTTTGCATGATCATCTGATATATTTAATAAAATGTGATTGATGGCCGTAATATGAATTAAACTAATGAAGTTTAGATTTGGAAGTTAAACACCCACTTCTCTTCTTATTTTTGTGCAAGTAATTAAGTCAGAAAATTCAGTTTTCCAAAAAATTCACATCCTATGAATGAGGAGATGTTATATGATTACAATTGAATAACTATCCAACAATACATCTATGATCCAACAGAGTCCTAACAACTCGGCTTTAAGCAAATATAGGTCACCGAACGGTCTTCAACAATGCTTAAACCTCATACCGTAATAATAAGCTATAAAAGGACACGACATGACAAGCTGTGAAACAATTAAAAAAAAAAAAAAAAAACAACTATGGCCTGATTTATGACCAAACAATGAACGAAAAACAAATATGACAGACAACAAACAACGAGCATCATTGAATTACAGGCGCCTGACTTGGAACAGGCACACATGGCAGGGTTAAACATGAGAGCTCAACTCTCCCCTAACCTGTGAAAGTGGTGTAATAGCACAACATAAGAACACGCTGTAATAATCAGCTGTGAATAGCTAGACTCATCAGATTGGTACGAATCACAAAAAACAACTATCGTAAAGACAAAAAACACCAAGTACCGATCTACTTACTGAAAGCTACCAGAAAGTAATAGATACATCATGTTTTCCAAGACTACTACCGGATATAAGTACGGCAGATGCAATAGGTAACTCAGACCAAAATCTGCTGTACACGATAGCAAAATTCACAAGGCAATCGGAAACTCAGACACAAATCTGCCGTACAAGTTAGTCAAAACAATTGTCTTATAGCAATCAGGAACACAGATCCTATTGTTTCTGTCGTACCGATAGCCGGTTATAGGTAATGATAATGTGAGCACCAGTTTGTCGATGAAACCCATGATCTACGCAATAGATGATGTACATTCGAAGGTTGACGTTTCGATATGTTTCATATCTAGCTAATTGTTGTAGTCTTGTAAGAGCCATTTGACACTTTTTTTGTCGAATATTGCAGAAAAAGTATGAATTGGGTCAGGTGAGTGACTTGCAGGTTGTTTTAGGCTCACGTCTAGTATTATGTAAATGTGTTGCATAGATCTGTATTGTTAACTGACTTTCCAAAGCTTTTTCTCTAGAGCATTTTTATTTCATCTGCTTTCATTAAGGCGTATTGTTTGATTTCATGATATTTTTACTGGCTTTGTAAACGTTGGTTGTAGTTTTGTGTTTATGTGTTGTTAGTTGGAAGAACAGTCCATTGCCGCTCGAGGTGTATGTATAGTGTTGTTTACATTATACCACTTTTAACATTTCCATATGTAATCATATAATTTACTGTTCCAACCCTCAAATATACTAACTTCACTTTCCTCTATAACAAAATGAAATTGTTTCGAATAATTCGATTTCTCAATGAAAAAAAAGGTTAAATTCCACATATCTTGAATCCAACAAGATGTTTCCTAAGCTATAGTTTTTAATAGAATTTAACTAACACTAATATTTGTGAAATGATTATTCATTTACAATGATATTGCATAATATATTTTGCATATGTAATAATTGCAGAGAAATTTGTATCTGATCCTTAACGTCTATATGCACCCTAACTGAACGATCATTTAATCTGTCTGTGTAAAACGATCATTTAATCTGTCGGTGTAAAACGATCATTTAATCTGTCTGTGTAAAACGATCATTTAATCTGTCGGTGTAAAACGATCATTTAATCTGTCGGTGTAAAACGATCATTTAATCTGTCGATCTTAAACGATAGATAAAGCGGTTAATTGTCACCAGAGTATTTTTCTGATGTAAATTTCAAAATGCTAATTTTCAATACATATACAGCTTTGGCTACAATTAAAAATTTCCAGTTTTCCTGTTTGTTCGTAAATTCTGAACAATTTACGTTTTTAAATCCTATCGGTTTCAGTGTTTTCTCACTTTTCCTGGTTCCAAAATTGCACACTCACAGTATTAACTTGCTTGCTATTTTAATGATTTATTTACCTTTTTAACTTTTATTTGATGCACATCTGTTAATAGTATTTTAGGGCAAGAAAATTAACAATTATTGATCATCTAAGGGTATCTACAAGAACGAGTCAATATTACTAGACGTTTTTTTTTCTTTCTTTTGGAGATGAGTCGATGTGGTATGATTTCCATATAAACAACTATTCACCAGAAACCAGATGACGGGGATGTAATACAATATAGATCACCGTACGGCCTTCGACAATGACCAAAAACAATATCGTGTAATTACATTACATGTATGTTTCATAAACATCCGTACTTTTGATATGGTGACAACAATCGCGAGGCATCCGAAATTATATCATATTTTATTTTTCAATACAGTGTATGATTCATTACTGCATGTGCTTCCTATGTCAACGTCACAATAATGCATATTATCACATTGGTTGCAATGAATTACATTGATTTCTCAGTGAAATAAAAACCGATAATTTCACATGTGAAATAAACGTGGTTATTTCACTCCTCTGACGTCATACAACAATAGGCGTTGTCATGACGTCGGATCAAAACAAATTGTGAATGCTTAGAAAAAGATATAGTTCCTTACATATTCTAGTTTAATTTCAGAAAAAAGACCATTTGCCAATGTAATAAAAAGAAAAACTAATCAAAGAATTCAAATATCGAAAAATATTCAACTCGTGACCGAACAACACTGATAATTAACTCATGCGCTACGCGCATTCGTGAATTAATGTGTTGTTCGGTCACTCGTTGAATATTTTTCTCTATTTGAATTCTTCGATTAGTTATTCTATAATGAAAACAAACGAAAAGCTTGATATAACTCGTAATTTGATGGTTGTAGAATATATATGAAATGAAAGAACTGAATTGCTACTTTTTGTAATTTTATATGGTTGTAAAAGCGTTGATCGTGTGCATATTTTAGCATGAAGCGCTTCATACAAAATGTGCTATTTTCAACGCTTTTTAAAAAAAAAATACTAAAAGAATTCTTAAATAGTAAGTAAGCTATAAAAGGCACCGACATGACAAAATGTGACAATTAAGACTCGTCGGAGCCATACAATCAGTTTTAATACTCTTACAATGTATTTGTTAAATTTGAGATTTTGCTTGATTTTGAGAGAGAGAGAGAGAGAGAGAGAGAGAGAGAGAGAGAGAGAGAGAGGATTTGTATCAGTGTATTCCAGTATGTTAGAGAGAAAGGCAGATTTTTTAAATGGTTTATTTTATTTGAAATAGACAATACCAGTTTACCAGATAGAGACGGATCAATGTAGAAATATTACGACTTTTACTCACCCATCAATACTGGAGTTTTATGACAAGTAAGTAATTTTTGTTTACACGAAGGCAACAGAATGGTTGTGCAGTTCAGTGATTATAGACAATTTGTGTCAATGCTTTCAAGTTCAGTAGTGTATTTGTAATTTCTTACACTGCTTTCGAGTTTAGCTGTGTATATTTGTTTAGTTTTTTTTAGTTGACAAAGGAGTATGATTGATATGTCCCAATATGGCCACTATTTCTAGCTTAATTCTCAAACTATGATTTAATGGCCATAATCACAATGTATCATAGCACTTACAATGTCTAGATAGGCAATACACCGTGTAGAACGGCACATGCAAGGTGTTGGCTATGTTTGGCACGGGGTGGCGGTTTTGAAGCGGAGAAAAAGCGATCAAGATAAGCAAAAGAATCAAAATTTGTTTTTAAAGAAATGTTAGCACCAAAGAATGTATTGCATTGAACGAACCGAACCATAATCTATTTCCACTAAGCAGAAGCAGACGTTTCAACTGTTTAAGTTTTCTCAAACACCTCTCCCTAGTTTTCCGGGTTGCAAATTTTGAGACTTCATATACAAGTTATTTTGTCATGTGACGTTTTTTCATGATTTGTAATTGTAAATGATTGTAACATTTTTTCTGTCTATTCGAACTAACCTAAATGTGGTGTACACTTTTAAATAACCCGCTATGCAGGATATTTGGAGCCAAAAAGGGCCCTTACCGTTGTATTTTGCTTAAACCAAGGGTTCGATGTTGATTTTTTTTCATGTCTAACGTTACGATGTAATTTTCAATGTAATTATAGATATTTTATTATCCAAAATTATTGGTCGGATTTTTTTTGCCTTTCTCTTATGTAAAGATAGTGAAAAAACACTAACCTTGTTTATTTAGAATACACTGAAATGGTAATCGTCTGGTTTAGAAACGTAGATGATGATATTAAATGAATCAATCGGTAAAACAAAAAAAAACCTGAAGACTTTGTGGGTATGGAATTGTTGATGATCAAGTTTTTTTTTATGATGTGTTGGCCACACAGGGAATACAAGACGAACCCATACATTTTTGTCTCAATACCGTGTAGTGATTTCCAATTTTAATATCAATATCTTTTTTCAACATTTTCAACACATTTGTATAATATCTTATAGTCACCTTTATTAAGACTGATAAGAAAAATTAACTATTTTCTTTTTCTATTTTCAGATACTTGTATCCATTAAGTGTTCCACATACAATAATTTCGATTAACCTTACACCAGATAAACCAAACAAGAAAAAGCTGGGTATGCAATAAAAATGAATTCAATAGAACACACAATCGATTTCGCGGTACTCATGAAAGTACAAAAGAAAAGTACATAATTAAATTTTGATTCTCTTCCTATTCCAAAGAGAAATAACAACACCCCAACAGGGGGCAATTAAATTCTAAATGTCGGAGAATAACACAACACAACATGACAAAAAATAAAGGAAAGAAAAAGAGTTTCACATTAACAATTTGCGTACCAAACAACAAAAAAGTCGAAGGACGAGGGCATCTAGATATTTTTTAGGGGTGACATTCAAGCATCTGCCCCTTTAACGGTTGTCTGTTATGTTGTGCATTGTTTAAATGCATAGCAATGTCCTGTTGAATTTGTGAAAGTGACACGCTCTCGGCACTGAAAATTTGCAACAACTCTTTTAGTGGATCCGTAGGTGGCCTATTACTAGGCTAGGGTTTGCCTCAATCTAAAATACAGATCTTTTCCAGTGGCACATCTACACTGCCCACCCTACATCCTTATCGACCACTTTTCAAAACCTACATATTTTATTTATTTGGGGTTTTTCTCTTGAATATGCATGAAATGTTTGCACATGACTTTAAGGGAATTTTGTCAAAAGTACATCTACAATATATATTCTCTTATTTTCTAATGTATAGTCAACAGATGCAGATGATTAACAATTTTACTAACTGTAAGAGTGAGTTTGACGGGTAAATATTTTCACTTTTATTGTTAGAGTGCAAGCAACTACAAGAATATAACAGATCACCAAATGCAAATTCTCCAAACGAACAAGAAATATCTGTACAGCAACCTCCCTTTAGATGTGGGACACCAGGAGGCACAGGCAATGATCGCTCGTCAGTTAGACGAAGACATGACTATGCGAAAGCAATTCAGAAATTTATGTCCCGACCGAAAACAGCTTCTGATTACTTTGGTAAGTTTTGCTTTTCTGGTAACTTGTAACAATAATTATTTGATTGTTTAAAGATGAATACGAACTGTGCTTGCCTTTATCAATTTTTTTTTCATATCTTAACTGTTATTGGTATGGTACATTACTAGTTAACAGGTTTTTCTTGTCTTTCATAATGATAACAATCGCTATATATGACATTCGTAAATATAGATAGATAAAACAATAAGGAGATGTGGCAACTATCCACCAGAGTCCAAAGGACATGGTGTAAACAATCATTGATTACCATACGGCCTTCAACAGTGAACAAAACCGACACTCCTAAAGCATGATAAAATGTGAAACAATTCAAAAGAGAAACCCTACGGTATGATTTATGCTAAAAAACGAACGAAGAACAAATACGAACGACAGCAATCAAGGACAGCCACTGGATTTATGTTATTGACTTGGGACAGGCACAGAAAGAATGTGGCGGGGTTAAACTTATGTATGAGCTGTCAACCCTCCCTTATCCTGGGATAATGTTGCCAAATAAAAAACAGTTGGAAAAGGCGTGTCACGTCAGATCGATAGCAAAAACACAAAAAAAAACAAAGTACCGGTCTAAGAGTACTCAGAGTTACTGAAAACCAGTTCAAAAGCAATTTCAACTAATAAATAAACTTTGTTTTCTCACACAAAATATCAATAAGTACATATCCAACTAATTAAGTGTAAAGACATCATAACCAGTCTTAGAAAAGCACCACCTTGTGCGATGCCAATAAATAAGTATCGACAGGTTGTATGACCATAAGTTTTCTTAACTCTATAGCAATACATATACAGTTATATTAAACAATGTTTGTACGATGAAAAAAATATTCAAAGATCTTACTTAAGTTTTAAATTGATAACCTTTCAGAATAATTTTATTCAAAGGATCAATCCGTTTACTTGTATCGTTTCTAAGTTTACAGGCTCTATAAACAACATTGTCGTACAAATTAGGATGTGATATCCAGTTAGTAATACATTTTTTTCATGTACAGCCAAACTTCCAAATTTAATCTTTGTATCTATGAGAATATAGATTATTTTTTTAGAAATTTGTGGCAACGAAATCCCTAACGCAACAATTTACCAGTTATGCATGAGATTACGTTCATTGGAATCTAAAAAGTCACTACTAACACGTAAGACGGGACCAAAGGAACGTCACCCTCCAAAAAATAAAAACAGAAAACATAAATTTGTTGTAAATTTTTGTAAAGAGTTTCCCGAGTGAAACTGAAATGTCCATAATTTATCGAAACTTCCAAAGAGTTTTTTTTTACTAGTTTTCAATTAGTAATCAATTCCATTATTTTCATAAAATGATGCTTTATTGCATAATATAATAATAAGTTCTTCCTACAAAACACAATAATTCCGATTTTTTTTTTTGATTTATTTACAGCTCAGTTAGAACGTGGAATGAAACTGAAAGCACAAAAAGAGGAAATAGAAAGTAGACGGGCAATTTCTGCGGGAACCTGCAGACAGCAAATTAATTCAAAAAATTTATCAAAGACTTCAAATTTATCTCAATCTGTATCAACTATACATTCACCAACAAGAATGTATGAGCAAAAAGAAAACCTATCACCTTCTACTCAGCCTTCACCGTCTAGTCACAATCGTATGTTAATGTGTTCAAAACTTCAGAATGTTTTCAAAAAGCCTGGCACTGCTACAACGCATAAGACTGGAACTAGTATAGCGACCAAGACTTCCGAGTTTGTTGTTCCAACGCCGGAGACTTATTCAATACCTGTATGTTAGTTTTTGTCAATTATTAATTATTCCAACATTTTTTCTCCAAGGGAATACAATTAAACTCTTTTTAAAATCCGTCATTTATTTTCTAGATCACGATTTATTTGGACAGATTCCGTCTTGTTTTCTTGAACTGAAAATAATGTTTTTCCTTCTATTTTTTTCTGATAAATTCTTGTGTCCGTCGTAAGTCAGAACCTCGAGCTTGTTAGTGATTGTCTTTAGTTACATCTTAGGTGTTTGTATTAAGATAATTTGTTATGGATAAAAGATATCAGATGGTGTTTGTTCAACGTGTATTCAACTTATAGACTTTTTGTGTTGTAGAGCTATGCATATCGTATACACTGTTCTTTGGTTGACGGCCGTATGTTTACATATTGATGTCTTCAGATTGCTGATTTTTACGTATATCTTCATCTCATTTTACTAATATTTAATGAGATGAGGGAAATACTTTTTAAGCTCATCATCTAATTCACACCACCCTATGAGTAGATAGTTTCACAGCCTAACTTAATTTGTTTGGGAACAGTTATTGTAATTTAATTTAAAAACAGGATAATTATGCAGATCATGAATATTTTAATTTACTGATAATCAATAGAAAGATATTATTATAGTTTTGACATATCTTATTGTTCATAAACTATGCAAACGGACTAAAACAAGTTTTACAATCAATAATGACATTTCCGGATGATAGTTTGTTTATTAAATGAAGAAAAAATGTACGAAATTTCCTCAGTCGATAATGTAAAAGAATGACAGTTATTATTGAGATATTTATTTTCAGGTTTTCCAACCAGTCAACATCAGAGAAGCTCCTCGTATGTACTATAAGTAAGTGTTTTACAATAAGAACTTCAACCATGAAGCTGTTAACACAAATAATAACGAATAAGCAATGACAAAGATCGTTCACGTCGAAATATTAGGCAGCCATTTTCTGTCTTTCGGCTATCATAGTTTTTTGTGTTTTGTTTTTGGTGCTTTTACCTTTAAAATCTGGATGTTTGTATTTCTTTATTTTACTCTTTAAAACATTTGGCAACATTTATTTGCTATTTATATAATTTTGCATCATTTGTATGTTCTCTCATTCGAACATTTATGTCCTTTGAAAGATTTCACAGTCGTATCATCCGTTGCAAAACAGCTTTGTATATGGCTACTCATTGATTGGTTTAAAAAAGATAAACTTTCGTTCGTTACGCCCACTGACTGATTGTATTAACAACCACTAAAGATTTCTCAACGCCAAGACTATTTGGCCATCCCATCATCTAAAAATACACTTTTAAGAGTTAATACATGTACATCTTTCCTTTATTAATAACAACTATACTACTTAACAAATAGGTTAGCAACACCACTACTGACTGAAAATAAAGTAATAAAAATCTCGATTAAATTTTAATCCTGGTATCTATGATTAGTTTATTTACAACTACTGGGTCGATGCCACTGCTGGTGGAGGTTTCCTCGCCGAGGGTATCATCATCCCAGTAGTCAACACTTCTGTGTTGACATGAATTATCATTGATATGGTCATAATTATAAATTGTTTACAAAACTTTAAATTGATCGAAATACTAAGGATTTTCTACCCGAGGAATATATTACCTTGGCAGTATTTGGCAAAAGCTTTCGGAATCAACTTTTTTTAGTTTTCTTCTTTAATCAATTCAACCTTTAAAACAGGAATGCTGTTAATTTCAGATCATTTTGATCATTTTCTACAAAGATATGAGCCCTCAAAGTTTGACCCTCATTTATCTCAATCGAAGTGTTGCAAAAACATTCTTGAATAGTATATATATCCCCATTTTTTTTTTATATTTCAACGATATAATAAATGTTACTTAAATACAAGAACCAGGTTACTTTTTTGCTCACCTGGCCAAAAGGGCCAAGTGAAATTTCTCATCACTTTGCGTCCGTCGTCCGTCGTCGTTAACTTTAAAAAAATCTTCTTCTCTGAAACTTCTGATCCAAATTGAACCAAACTAATTCTACAAATAAGTCAAAATGGTTGAAATCGTCTGATGACCCCTTATTGGAGTTATTGCTCTTTAATGACGACTTTTACTATTTTTTATGTGATTTTGCTTAATAGCTGGAAAAGTATAATAGATAGATAGAAATTTAAATAGGCAAATATAATCAACAAGACAAGATCTACAATTAAGTCGAATAGTTTAAATCGTCTGATGACCCCTTATTGGAGTTATAGCCCATTAATGATGATTCTTACCATTTTTTTGTGTTTTTGCCTTATATCTGAAAAAAACTATAATAGATAGAAACTTAAATAGGCAAAAATGATCAGCAAGACAAGATTTACAAATTATTCAACATGGTTTATATTGTCTGATGACCCCTTATTGGAGTTGTTCTCTTTGATAACGATTTTTATCAAATTTTTTGTTGTTGTTGCCTACTATCTGAAAACTATATTAGATAGATAGAAACTTAAATAAGCAAAAATGTTCAGCAAGACTAGATCAACAAAGAAGAGATTTTTGTCATGAATTCTGTTCTATTCCACAAAGATGTAGATTATCCAATTGTTGAAGATGTACATAAACCTAGCTAGGTGAGCGACACAGGCTCTTTATAGCCTCTAGTTTTAATTTTCTACAGCAACCGAAACCTTAGTTACATTTCAAAAACTGTATTTTTACTTCTACCACAAAACCCATTCAGATTGAGAGACGCAATTTTTATGAAATTAAGAGATGTGGTTGGATTGCCTAAGATACACTATTACTCAGAGTCCAAATTGATGTTCTTTTATTTTTAATATTCATATTGATGAATATTTTTTCTCGTATTTTTTTATTTAGATGAGCCATTGAACTTATTTTTGTGCAAAGAACAAAACCGAAGATGTTTTTCTATTTGTAGCCTCAATCATATATGTTATAATATTATCTCCAAACGTTTATTTTTCTATCAAATGAAACCTTTTGAAATGATTTAAAACAGATTCATATAAAGGTTTACGTAAAACACCGATCGGGCACCGACAGATTGTAATTGCGTAAAATTATCGTTATCGATGAAAAATCTCGTCAAAGATACCGGGCTTATAATTTATTACAACAGGCGCGCGTTTCGTTTGTATGAGACTCATCAGTGCACCTCGAATCAAAACAATTAGAAGGCCAAATCTAATACGAAGAGCATATAAAACCCAAAATATCGAAAAAGAATGTGCCAAATACAGCTATATATGTCTGTGGGTAGAAAAACCATTAGTGTTTTGAATAATTCAATATTTTCGAAACAGAAAATTAACAAACACGATAAAGGTAAATCGTTCAGTAATATCAACAGCACACTTGGTACTCATGTATTTAAGTTGTTTGAATTTCATCCTTATAAAAAGTAATGTATTCAATGTATTTTATAACTGAATATTCTAATTTAATTCTCTATTTAAAGTGAGGCCTGATCGTCACAACATTGTTAAGTTTTTTTTATGTGCGATTTGTTCTGTTATGAATTAATACGATTGCACATGCTGATGCAGATATAAAGCCACGTTGACAAATAAACACGTTATACTACAACATCTTCTATTTCAGGCCTTGGAAAGGAGACAAACTTCCTGTTGCTGAAATAAGGAGAAAAGCTTTTACTCCAAAATTTATATGAAAAATATATATAAACTTATACGTGTCAACTGGCGATCTCAAAGTGTTGTGTATTGTTAAACATATTTTAATAAAGAATCTATGTTATGCAACATTTCGAAATTTCTTGTAAAATCAGTAAGGGCATCTGATTTTGCCATATCAGTTAATACTTCAGAAATCGTTACAAAAGAAGAAAAAAAAGAAATGATAATCTAAAATAATTGTTATTTAATTTTTAATTTGTATCGGAAGAAGTAGAATATCAAAGCTGGAACCATACGATGATGCATTGATTTGCATGCAAAATTCCAAAACCGATCAACATTCAATTTTTGAGACAATTTCCTATAAAATTGAGAATGGAAATGGGGAATGTGTCAAAGAGACAACAACCCGACCATAGAACAGACAACAGCAGAAGGTCACTAACAGGTCTTCAATGCAGCGAGAAATTCCCGCACCCGGAGGCGTCCTTCAGCTGGCCCCTAAACAAATATATATACTAGTTCAGTGATAATGAACGCCATACTAAACTCCAAATTGTACACAAGAAACTGAAATTAAAAATAATACAAGACTAACAAAGGCTAGAGGCTCCTGACTTGGGACAGGCGCAAAAATGCGGCGGGGTTAAACATGTTTATGAGATCTCAACCCTCCCCCTATACCTCTAGCCAATGTAGAAAAGTAAACGCATAACAATACGCACATTAAAATTCAGTTCAAGAGAAGTCCGAGTCCTATGTTTGTCGGCCCAGGCGAGGTAATCCATATATGAAACATAAACTGGAAAAACCTTACCTTAACTTTTCTTCTGAAATCAAGTATCAGCTTGACCGCTTAAATAAAATTGTGAACTTCATTGACCATCTATAAAATTTGAAATGACATCATGTATTAATAATATCTTTCAAAGTATATCTAATGTCTTTTTGAAGGACTATTGAATACCACTAGGTCAATACCATTGGTGTTTGATTGTTGGTCCTCATATAAATACACATCCATGTTCATTTTCTATATAGAGATTGCTTTATCTATACATAACATTATACATATTTATTATAAGGTTGAATCCAAACTATCCTACTGCCTGTCTACTTTTATTTTGACATTGCACAAGTCATGTCTTCTTTGACTGTCCATGGCGTTAAAACACTAAATCCCTGGGATGGGTTTTAGTTGATTTTAGTCTCTGATGCATGATTTTTTATTATTATTTGTTTTTGGCTTTTAACTAGCTTTCTGTAACTGCGATTTCTCTCAAATCGTACTTTCGTGTTAATTTGACCTGTTGACACAATCTGTAATGCATTTTTGTTATTCAATGTTTACTTATTTTGTGTTATATCTCGTCTATATATTTTTAATATGTACCACCTTTGATAAGTATCTAGTATGACGATAAATTTTCACTGCTGTTCTCGTACTATGAACAACAAATTTATTTATTTTGTAAAAAATATCTCCGTACTCCTAACAACAAAATTATTATATTTAAATTTACCTGTGTACGTTATTCTATTTACCGCCATTTTGTCCAAGGTTATAGTTTGTCTTTTTTACATTGTTTTACATCCCCCCTTTTTTATTTAATATTGTATTTATATTGTGTCATAGATCAAATTTATTCGTTCAGTGTATGTTTACTTGTTTTTGTTAATATGACTTTTTGATTGAGTTAAGCCATTTCAACTGATATTTTATAGTGTCTTTCTATGTTGTAATGTTACACTACTATTTCAGGTTAGGGTGAAGGTTGGCGCCTGTTGAATCGTTTTAACCCGCTGCATTTGTTTGCACCTGTCCTAAGTCAGGAACCTGTTTCAGTGGTTGTCGTTTGTTGATGTTGTTCTTATGTGTTTCTCGTTTCTCGTTTTTTATATAGATTATACCGTTGGTTTTCCTGTTTGAATTGTTTTACACTAGTCATTTTGGGGCCCTTTATAGCTCGCTGTTCGGTGTGAGCCGAGGCTCCGTGTCGAAGGCCGTACTTTGACCTATAATTGTTTACTTTTATAAATTTTGACTTGGATGGAGAGTTGTCTCATTGGCACTCACACCACATCTTCTTATTTCTATAAACCAGGCTTTTATGTGTCGGCACATTTTAGCAATTTACCTGGCACATTTTGCTAATGGCATCCTTGCAGGTCACCATTATAATACGAAATATTTAAAGTCAATATGGTACGAAATGATATTTTGTTCGAAATACTAAGGATTTTCTGCCAAAGGAATAAATCACCTTAGCTGTATTTGGCAAGACCTTGAGTCCTCAAAACTCTTCAACTTCGTGCTTAATTTTCCCTTATAACTTTTTTGATTCGAGCGTCACGATGAGTCTTTTGTAGACGAAACGCACACATGGCGTACAAAATTATAAGCCTGGTATCTTTGATAAGTTTATTTTTACAATCACTGGGTCGATGCCACTGCTGGTGGAGATTTCCTTCCCGAGGGTATCACCAGCCCATGGCCAGTGGTCAGCAATTTTATGCTGACATGACATATAATTGATATGGTCATATTTATAAATTAACTGTTTACAAAACTTTGAAATGTTCGAAATACTTTGGATGTTCTTCCCGAAGATGAGGGGCCTCGGTGGCCGAGTGGTCTAAGTAGTCCAACTTCTGTATCACTAGCCAATCAACACTGAGATTGTGAGTTCCAATCACGCACGGGCAGATGCACTCGACTCCAATCTTAATTGACTAGGATTGTCAATTTTCCTACCGAAGGTCGGTGGTTCTCTCCGGACATTCCGGCTTCCTCCATCAATAAAAACTGACCGCCACGAAATAGCACAATAGTGTTGAAAGTGGCGTTAAACACCAATCATTCAATCAATCAATCCCGGAGATGATCAGAGATAGATTACCTTAGTTGTATTAGGAACACACCTAGAAATTTTTGGTCGTCAATACTCTTCAACTTCGTACTTGATTTTTACCTTTTAGCTTTTTTGATTCGATCGTCACTGATGAGTTTTTTATAGACATAACGGGCGTCTAGTGTTCACAATTATAAGCCTGGAATCTTACATACATACATATAAGTCGTCTTTATAGTACGAAATGAGGAACATGGTCATTATATAAAACAGTTATGGTACGAAATGGATATGCTGTTATCCTGTCGATACTTAAAGTTTGGCATCGCACACGGTCATGCTTATATCAGACAGTTTATAACAATATAGTAATGAAGAGTTGTGGTATGATGAGACAACTATCCACAAGAGTTAAAATGAGGTGGAAGTAAGTAATTAATGGCTACCCAGGGGCGGATCCAGCCATTTTTAAAAGGGGGATTCCCAACCCAGGTTAAAAGGGGGGGGGGGGGGGGGGGGGGGTCCAACTATATGTCCCCATTCAAATGCATTGATCGTCAAGAAAAAAGGGGGGGGGTTCCAACCCCCGGAACCCCCCCCCCCTTCTGGATCCGCCACTGCTACCGTACAGCCTTCAGCAATGAGAAAAACCTATACCGTATTGTCGGCTATAAAAGGCCCCGACATAACAAATGTGAAACAATTCAAACGAGAAAACTAATGGCTTAATTTATAACAAAACAAATATGAAAACAAATATGAAAGACATGAACCAATGAAAACCACTGTACTACAGGCTCCTGACTTGGGACAGGCACATACGTAATGTGGCGGGGTTAAACATGTTTACGAGTGCTCAAACCTTTCCTTACCTGAAATAATGGTGTTACAGGACAACAAAAGAACACACCATAAAAATCAGTTGCAATTGGCTTAACTCAAAAGATCGGTACGAGGAACAAAAACAACTAACATAAAAACAATATACACAAAGCACCGAAATAAGAGTACTCGCATTTACTGAAAGCTAATTCAAAGCCAATTACAACTAATACATCTCTATATCATTTTAAATTTACTATAACAATGTATATTATAAATAGTTTAGAATGAACAAATAATAAGATAATAAGAGGACGTCGGAGGGAGGGGGAATCAAGACAAACGAGCCCCAAAACACAATCCCTACTTTAAACCGGGTGTGAACTTAAGTGTACAAGAACGATTAGCAGTTTTGGCAACGATATTTGAACATTCTTAAGAATGAAATTTTAAAATCTTCTACATTCAAGTCCGTGCGCTCCACAGAGAGTCATCTAGAGAACAATCATATCATAACCACATCACAGCTTAATTAGATATAAGAAGATGTGGTATAAGTGCCAATGAGACAACTCTCCATCCAAGTCAAAATTTATAAAAGTAAACCATTATAGGTCACAGTACGGTCTTCAACACGGAGCCTTGGCTCACACCGAACAGTAAGCTATAAAGGGCCCCAAAAATTACTAGTGTAAAACCATTCAAACGGGAAAACCAACGGTCTAATCTATATAAAAAACGAGAAACGAGAAACACTTATGAACCACATCAACAAACGACAACTACTATACATCAGATTCCTGACTTGGGACAGGTGCAAACAAATGCAGCGGGTTTAAACGTTTTAATGGTACCAAACCTTCACCCTTTTTCTGAAACAATATTGTAACATCACAACATAGAAAGACACGCTATAAAATATCAACTGAAATAGCTGAACTCAATCAAAGGACATATTAACACCAGTGAACATACACTGAACAAAAAAATTTGACCTATGACAAAATGTAAATACAAAATAAATAAACTAAGGGAAGAATAATAAAAGTAACATGTTATATCGGTATGAAATGTTAAACAATTTAAGAAAAACAATATGCTCGAACATAAATATCAGCCATTTGCAATAACTTTAAACACAGGTAAATGAAAATAATTTTGTTGTTAGGTATACGAGTACAGTTCCAATAGAGAAAGGAAATATTTTTACAAAATAAATAATTTTGATGTTCATAGTACGAAGTGAACATTTATAGTAATACCAAACACTTATCAAAGCTGGTATATAGACCGGATATAACCCTGAATAACATTAAATAACAAAAAAGCATTACAATTAGTATCAACAGGTCAAATAAACAAGAAAGTACGATTTGAGAGTACTCGCAGTTACTGACAGCTAGCTAAAAGCCAAAACAATTAATAATAAAAAATCATGCATCAGATACTAAA